AGAAAAAGTCGTCCAAAAAGCATAAGAATAGCAACGGAGCGGCCGTTCAGACGAGTAATCAAAACAATGGCAATAATAACGGAAAGGATGGCAATGACTGCGAGGAACAGAACCCCCTTATGGGCGGCGAAGGGGGCGACGACCCGAACGAGGATTTAGACCAAAATTAGTGCCTATTTTTGAATCAAAGTTTTTGTTGTTGTTTCGCAAAACCATTTGTCTTATAAAAGCTGTGATAATAAGTATTTCTTAAGACTTTTCATATTAATGTATAAATAGTTTTCGTTTTTAGATCTGTTTTTTGGATCACTTTTTTATACACAATATTTTTTTTTGAACGTTTTGTACGAATAATTTATTTTCGTATCAATGAAATAATCAATGAATTACTTAATATTAATAAATGAAATGAATCTCAAATTCTTGGCCTATATTTCGGGACAAAAGTCTAATGAATGACTGATTTTGGTTCAATTAAAACGTTTAATTAATTAAATAATTAAAAGTTTTTTTGTTGGCTATTAATAATTGACTTCAATTTCTTATTTAGATTTGCATTTTGAGACTATAATTACACATAAAATATAGATTCAATTATATTCGCTAATCATTTGTTTGAAACTAAACATTAAAAATCAAACAAAAAACTACACAAAACTGACTCCGAGTCCGAACTGTAGGCCGGGGCTGGTCTGGTCGCCCGACTGTTGTCCAAAGGGTAGGCAGTAGTTGAGTTCAAAGCGAGCCATGTGTCCGATGGACAGCACGATACCGGCGCCCACGCTATACCGGAGTCTATTCAACAGTATATTAAAATTCTTGTAGTGATCGTCAGTGTAGGCAAAGTCGCCGATATTGCCGGCGTTGGCGAACAGGTGTGCCCTGAAATAGTCGCCAAAACCGCCGGCGCCCGGCCTGAACGGCAACGGCGTGTACACGTGTAGGCCGGCGTTCCAGTAGGTGGTGGCGCCCAACGCGTTGCCCTCGCTGTGGGGGCCCACGCCGTGCAGATTGAACCCCCGGAGCGTTAGGGGACCGCCTATAAAGAATCGGTCGTTAATACAGGTGACGGTATCGATCTTCTGGAGGGGCTTCATGATGCCGGCCCTCAGCGACGCCTGTATGACAACGTCGGACAGTAGGGGCACCGGGCGGTTGAGCTGTAGCTCGAGCTCGTGCTTATGGAAGCCTACGTTCCCGGCGAGAAGGCCGGCGCACTCCTGTTGCAGTCGAAACAGCGTGCCCTTCGACGGCACGATAGGGTTGTCCCTCTGATCCCACGTCAGGATGTGCTTCAGCGACGACTTCAGTGAGTGTCCGCACTCTTCGCGTACGGCGAAGGCCGTGGAGGGCGTCAGGGCTGAGATGTCGCGCCACACGGCCTCCCAGCGCACCGAATGGGCTATGGATGGCCGCGACTTGAAGCTGAGGTCCACGTGTAGGCCGCGATCGGTCTCCCGGAAGCCACTCCAGGGGGCGTCGAATCCCGACTGGAATAGTGTGGACGTGAGCCGGGGCTGAGGCCACAGCCACGGCACCAGTGGTTTGGCAAACGATGTCTGAAAACCGGTCGTGTGTTTAGTGCCGTATTCGTACTCAGTTTGAAACAATTCGCCTGAATATGGGACATAAAAATGAGACAATTTGTGGTCTATTTAGTGTCACCACTCGTATGGTGTGTCACGTGTTGTGCGGGAACCACTCAAACGCCGAGATAATGAAGAGCTCACGAGTAGTGATCGCTATATAGCCATCAAACGCGGCTATACTTTTGTGCGACCATTAGATCCGGTGAGACATTGGTCGCTATCACCCGTGCATTCATTATCTACCAGCGCTCGAGTGGACACAAGTGGACCGACACTCAGACACACTCGCGAGTGATAGGTCTCGTGGCGTATGTGTGGACACAAACCTCTGCCGAAAAGGTTGGGACACTTGAGCTGAAGCACAACCGAGCCGTCGTTGTTGTTGCCGATGGATGTGTTGACCCCTCCGACCACTCGTCGCGTCTCCACCACACTGTACGTCACTTCGAGACCATCTCTGGTGGCGTTATCACCACTACTCGTGTCGATGAACACATTGATCGCCTTAAAGGCGCCCAACTCTTCGAGCCGTCGGCGCACTGTATGCGCTCTGAGCACCACCTCCTCGAAGGTGTTCGCCTCGAACAGGGGTCTCACCAGCGGATCCAATATGTCGTTCCGAGTGCGGCCGACACCGTCGATGTTGATCACATCCACCCGTGTCTTAAAGGCGTCCAAATTGAGTGCCGGAAACCCCGAGGAAGCGGTTGCTGAGGGTTTGGGTGAGCCGGCGCTCGAGCTCCCGGTGCTGCTCACGCTGTCCGCGAGTGTGGTGTCCAGTGAACTACCCGTCATAGTGTGAATCCGATCGGCCGGTGATGTGTCTTGAGATGGGCTACAAGTTTGCGAAACTAATTGCGATTATCGTCTCAATGAATGCAAACATTGTTTTGATTTGTGAATCACTTTTGCATTGATTTTCTCTCGCATTCAATGCATTGCTTACGAAATGCATGTGAATATCGTTTGTGTCCATAAATACTGTGTTTCGCATACAAAACGTGCATTTCTTGGAGAAAAAAGTTTTTGTTTCCGACAAAAGTTTTTTGTTTCGCGTTCATTGAGTAGATGTACACGCGATGTGAATGTATATACCGGGGTTAATTGAATTTTGAGTGATTATTTTGTAACATGTATGTGTTTAGGTTAGCGTATTAATGCATGTTTTAGTATCTAAAATAAAATTAGCACTTTATTATTATTAGAGAATATTCTGTACGATAAGTAACATATACTGTAAATCCATTTATTAGATTTTAAATTATGATGTGCTATAATTGTCCAATTAATACTATTTAGATAATTAAATCCCATAATGTACAACCGAAATAAGTTCTTTATGTACACTTCAATAGGCATTCAATGCTGACTGTCCTCAAATGTACGCCCACTTCGGGGGACAGTATGCGGGACCCGTCGGAGCCCACGACTTGATTTCCAAACAATTGGCCGAATATTTCAAATAAAGTTGCTTAGAGAGATAATTGTGTGAACAGGGTACTTATGTAACGTTATGTATAATTTGGCAATAAATTATATTATATAATATTCTATAATTATGCACAAACAATAAAATTATTAGTAACTTATTATAAGTAATATAAAAAACATTTAGGGGTTAATTAGTTTAAACATTAAAGTAAAAGAAAAATAATGCCTGTCATTGTATGTTAGTGTAAAATATACAAAATACTGTTAACAATAACCACTGATTGTGATGCACCTCTCAATTGCCAAACAATTAAAAGTATAACTTTCGCAAAGACGCTGAGTATTAGTTATCTATATGTTTTGAAATCCAAAAGTGAATCATTACTTATGCTATATGATTGCAAAAGTGTGTATTTGTTAATGAGATAATCTAATAAACCA